CAAACTAACAAAAGTCCCAAAAACTCTACCTAAAATACCTTTCCCTTACCCTCTCCTGTTACCAAATTCACTGATGGGCTCAGCTTTGGCCATGGCAGGTGTGCATGGGCATCAGCTGGAGCTGGCTTTGCTTGACACAGGGGCAGCTTTCGATGTTTTCCCAAAGAAGGCACTCCTGCAGAAYGTATAAACCCAATTCAATTGTCTTTCAAGCTGTGCTGCTGGAAGCCCCCAGTCAGCAGCTTTGCAGTCTACTCCTTTGCTAACTGGTTGACAAAGCAGTAATGCTCAGCATTGTTTTCCAAGGCAAATGTGGACTTTTATTTAATTCTAATACAGTTTCCTCACCCAGAACAATTATCCCTCTCACACACATACTTAATCAATGAATCTTGCTTTAGAAAAGGCAGGAGATCAGCCTGTTCCAATAGTAATCTCATTTCCCAGTGGGGAAAAGAGATTGTAGTTTTCTTTGGAACAACACTCTTTCTCCCATTTTCTCTGAGGGAGTGTGGTTTACTGATTTCTCTTACTGACAACCTTCTTTCTGTTTTCTCTCCTGGAGGCTGATCATGCTGCAAAGATTGAGCACAAAAACTGCATGCCTGGCTATCTTAAGTCACATGGGAATTAAATTTAAGGGATCATTAGCACAGAACCTTTGTGTCCTACTGTAATTACTGCTCAATGCACTTAGGCTGCTGCCAATTTGTTCTCACTGCAAAAGTAATCCTCTGAATTGTTTTCTTTGTGTTTTCTTGCAAAGAAGAGAAATTAGCCCAGACTTCTGGCATATCATTTGAAGATGGGTTCTGTGCTATGGTAGAACTGTAGGAAAAAAAACAGGGAATGGTCTGGAGATCCTATGTAGAAGGCACAGACCCCACACCTGAAATTCTGTCAATAACATGGACATTGTGGGATCAAGTGCATCCTCAGCAAAACTGCAGATGACACCAAGCTGAGTAGTGCTGTTGACATAGCTGAAGGACGATTATGAGAGGATGATAAGACTGGTAAAACACTGAAACAAGTTGCCCAGGGAAGCTCTAGCAGCATCCMTGGGAATGTTCATGGCCAGGTTCCATGGGGCTCTAAACACATGCCAGAAATTAAAGATRTCCCTGCTCATTTGCAGGGCAGTTGGTCTAGATGGCCTTTAAAGTTACTTTTCAACCCTGGCAATTCTGATTTTATGATTTCCACAACTTTAGGAAGACTGAAAGTGTGTAACAAACAGGAGTACAGCTATGTTGTGCTAAACTTGTGCTTCAGTTTATRGCCATTGCTCCTTGTCCTGTCCTTGGGCACCACTGAAAAGAGTCTGACACCATTCTTTTGGCACCYGCCTTGCAGATATTGATAWGCATTAATGAGATCCCCTCTCACAAAGCAATGGRTAACTCCTGGCATCAGTGCTATACTTAGACTTGAATGCACTAATGCTGGCTTAACCTAGTAGATGGAACAGCTGTGAGTCAGACTGAGATCCAGTTGTGGGAGACCTTGTAGGGCTTCTCAGGAGAGGAAGARCTGCCTGAAAGGAGATCATAACCAGGGCAGGTTGGCCTCTTCTCCTATGCAACAAACAGCAGGGCAAGAGGAAATGTTCTCAAATGTACATTGGGTGGTTTAAGTCGGACATTAGGAAGAATTATTTTCAGAAGAAAGTGTGATCAGACTTTGGAATGGACTGACCAGGTAGGTGGYAGAGTCACCATCYCTGGAAGTTTAAGGAAAGACTGGACATGGCGCTCAGTGCCATGGTCTAGGTGACAAGGTGATAACTGCTCCCAAGTTGATGACCTTGGAGGTCTTTTCCAACATAAATGATTCTGTGATTCCAAGCTGAGGGTGCATCAAGCCCACAGGGTGCGACCTCCCACCTTTAAGGGGAAGGAAGATTCCTAAATGCAGATTGATTTACCTGCCTTGAGAATGGGCTTTTCAGTTTCTATGCAATCAGTTGTCATGAGCAGTCTGCTCTTTCAGACTTTTTATGGAAATGGGTTGGAAGGCCCTGGGGCTCTTGTGTGGTCTGGATTCCCCTCTAYAACCCATGCTCCCTTCTCAGCCTCATTCTTATGCTCGGCATGTACTATCTTGTGCTTATTTCCAGGATCGACAAGAAGGATGCTTTTCCCCGGAAGGTGCTGGCTTATCTCCCCATAGCCCCCTTTCTCCAGCCACCTCTTGCTGTTTCTCACAGATTCTCCACAGCGAGCGCAGATTTTCCACGGCAGGGAAAAGGCCGGGAGCCGCGCCGGCACAGCAATTCTGCACAGGGATTCTCCACAGGGATTCTCCACAGGGATTCTCCACAAGGAGCCTCTTTAGCCCACCACACCGCCAGGGGGCGTGCTCGCCCGCCCTCACCCCGCGCCGGCAGCCCCGCCCCGGGCCGGGCAAACACAGCGTCCCCATTGGTTCAGCGCCGCTGGCCCCGCCCCCTGAGCGGTCACGCGCGCGGCCTCACGGCGGCCGGAAGTGCCAGTGGTGGGCGGTGGGTGCGGGTTCGCTGCCGGCCCGAGCGCGCCCATCGCGTTCCTCTCCCGCTTCCCCACGGCCCCGCCAGGTCTCCTCACCCGTCCCTGCCATGCACCCCCGGCGCCCCGACGGCTTCGACGGCCTCGGCTACCGCGGGGTGGGCCGCGACGATCTGGGCCCCGGCTCCAGGCCCTTCAGCGGCTCTGAGCTGGGCCCCTGGGTAACCAGCCCGCCCGACATCCCCGGCAGCCGCAATCTGCACTGGGGCGAGAAGACGCCGCCATATGGGGCCGGGACCCCTCTGGGCGGCGCCGGCCCCAACGAGGAGGCCAACATCGGGGCGGGCGGCCCCGGCGCCGGTAAGGGAGGACCCGGCCTGGGCTGGTCTCTCGCCGCTTCCCGGCTCCGCGCTAATCCCGGCTCCCGGGAGTGATGACCTGCCAGGGCGGGCAAGGGCGGGCGGGCGGCGGCCCTGGGCTGTGCCGCGGCCGGGCAGAGCGCCGCCCGGGTTCTCCTTTTTACTGACGGTGCTGAAGCGCCGGGRAAAAAAGTCCTTCAGAAGAAGGCGAACTGCTTCATCGCTGGCTGTTGCGCTCCAGTACCGTGTAGGTCCATGCAAATGTGATTTGAGAGTGCCAGAACGTGCCCTGCCCCGCAGTTTCATTAAGCAGTGTGCGGTCAGCTAACTCCTTATTGCCCGTGTAAACAATATTCTACAGAAACACTCCGCCCTCTTTAAGGGCAGGAACTGCCTTTGGGTCTTCATTATTTAGTGGGTGTTGGTGTTTCAGACTGCGTGGCTTCTCGGTTTTAAAACATGAGCTGCTGACGTAAACCTCCCACGCATGAAAACAAGGGAACTGTGGGACTGGTAGGATTTAAGGAAGCAAATGTGTTCAAGCCTTTTCCAGTAATTGTTGGAAAACTGAGTAGAAGCCCGCAGAAGTAAACTGTCATTTTAAGTCTTCAGGAAATTGAGGTGAATTAAGAAAAATCCGCTGTATTGAGGTCATTGTACGTTGTGTTTAATTAAAGGGAGCACTTTGTATACACTTGAATATCAAAGGATTATGAAATCTTAATTTATCTGAAATCTAATTATATTAGTCGGCAAGTCTTTCTGATCTGTAGTGCAGTKGTTTTATTCAGGTCTTGTAATGAGTACATTGAGTGGACTTCTATCCATGCATGCACTAGTTAAAGTATTGTTTCATTATTCTTGTAAAATTGGACACTACCATTTCCCCTCCCCCTATCTACGCATGGAGGGCATGTTCATTCTGGACTTAGGAGGACTGATAAGTAGTTGCTATAATCACTGAGTCCAGCAGCTGCAAATGGTATCTTAACGATTCTGGGAAGGCTGCCACGTCTGGGTAGAGCCCCACTGATGTTAGTGACTTTATCCATGCTTTCCTACCGCTTGCACTCTGAAGGTTCCAGGGCTGAGCATTAATTTTAAATTGCMTTTACTGTTCTGATACTCATCCTAAATTTCCTTCTGATACTTCCCAATGTGCAAATACCTGTCTAGTAGCAGACAATAGAGAGTTAAATTCATTACTCTTGTAATTCTCCAGTAAATGGAGTTTTGGAGAAGACTGGAGGTAGACAGCTGGCTTGAAAATTTGCTTTATGTTGATATTTGTTAACTTCATCTGTGGATTTTTGTGTAACTTTTCSCAAAGTTTTCCCTTTTTGTTGTTTTGACATTCTCCTCAGTTATCTAAATTTGTGTTTCAGAATTACTGCAAATATGTGCATACTAAATCTTTCAGTGGTTGGTTTGCGTTASATGTTTTTAGGTATTAAAATATTCTCGCTTTTACTTTCCACTTTCTCTCTTTTTTTTCCCTGATTTCATGTATAAGAGTATATACAAACTCAAATGCAGTCCAAAGTGCAGATATGCCTGGGGGAATAATTTTTTTATATCCTCTGTTGATGAGCTGCCATAAATGTTGTGGTTTAGTGCTTGTAATTTTTTGACACAAGTGCACGATAAAATTAGCTTTTCAAATATTGTGCATGGCATTTTCTKCTATTTTGTGATTATCACTGCTGTATAATCTGGTATTGGTTTTGTTTTTKTTTTTCAGAGCAGTTGAACAGATTTGCTGGCTTTGGTATTGGCCTTGCAAGGTAAGAGTTGTGTTCAGTAACAGAGGGGTAGTAAAACTTATTTTGAAACCCTACCTACACTTTTATACTTTCACTAAATAGAATAAYTTGAAATTTCCATAGAAACCTACTACCCAAAATCTGCTTAGGTTTCTGTTCTCTTTAGCTGTTGCTCAAAAAAAAAAATGAATCAGCAGTGAATCTGAGAAACAGCTTTTCTTATGGAGTGCTTWGGATGTGTGAGCCCTGTCCAAGTAATCTGAAAGTAAAACCAATTTTTTTCTTCACACTTGCAACTTTTATTAATATTTTTAGGCAATTCACATGTTTCCTAAGAACGTGAAAATGTCTTCAGGTGTATTACCAAAGTATCATGGGACTACAGTAGTTCATCTAGCCAGGTGGTCTGATGGCCATTTTTTTTTTATTATTGTGACCCTGGTTAATGATACTATTTTTGATAAAGTGGYGAACTTTAGGATGCTGAAATACAGGGAAAATTTTGCCTCTTTTGGTAGTAGCAAACTRCTGTTTACCTCAATAGTTACAAAACTGCAGTATTTTTCTGTGCCAATTGTACTTCGTTTGTTGGGAATTCAGAAACCTACCACAGATTATCCTGTAGCTGTGACTTGGGGTATTTAGAAAAATCCTGGATATTCTGCTTTTCTAATCCTTGTCCCAGGTTTGAACACACAGGTAAGTACTCTGATCACTCAGGCACTGTGAGATGAAATTAATATTTTCTCTGGCTGCAACCAGGAATCTTATTTTGGAAGTGAGAGAACTTTTTTGTGAAGTTTTGATTGAAACAATGAATTCTGGGAATGATAGGAGAGTTGTTTCGGGGAAAAAGTGTTTTCGGTGAAGTAGTCAGCTCTTAGTATCAATCCTCCTCTGSCCCTGCTAAGGAGAGTCTTGATTAATAATATAGTATGCAGAATTAGCATAAAACTTGAAAGTAATCCTCTTGTAACTGTGGTTCCGAGTTGTTTTGTATCCTGATACTTTGAAGAGAGTTAGGTTAAGAAGTTTTGTATGTTGTTTTGATTATAAAAATATGAACATACTATATATATATAGGGCTTTTACATAGTAAATATATGTGTAAGATTTTATGTAATTTGTTGTTTGGGCAGCTGTTGGGTAGCCATCAAAAATGCCCTGTTACTTTACTAGAAAATGCATAGCTTTTCCAAATACTGATCTGCCATTGTTAGACACAATCAACAAGCTGTTTCTGAGGAATTAATAGTGGTTTCCCATGTATTAAATACAATTTTCTTTTAAAGCCTATTTACAGAAAATGTGTTGGCACATCCTTGCATTGTTCTCCGTCGTCAATGTCAGGTATGTCTTCTATGTTACCTTTTCCAGTCAGAGCTCCTGTGGCTGTCACTAAAATGTCTCTAATTTTTTTAACACTCTGTATGAAAGTGTGTAGTATAGGAAACTTKGCAGTTTTTAGGGAGATTCTGCTATATTAACAAGTTTTTATTTGTAGAATACATGCTTTCTGTTCYGCAGTTTAGTTTATTTTGAAAAATTTTACTCATTTTTGTTTGAGCATTGGAAAAGAAATTACATCAAATAAGTGTTTTGGATTCTGCAGAGCAGCTTTYAGATCCCCATTTACAAGTATGATGCTTTGTTTCATAGTTTCTGATTTGTATTGTTTATTGTTTACACTTTCAGCACACAAATGCTTAAAAGTAGTGCTTGTTTTTCTGAATTTAAGTGAGAATTTATTCGTATTTTTAGCTCACCTTTACAGAGATAACTTTGTTACTCAGAAATGCTTTTGGCCTTCAGAGTTGTAGTATCTGCAAGTATGTTTCTAAGACTGCTGTTTGTATTTTAACAGGTTAACTATCATGCACGGAATTATCATCTCACTCCATTTACTATTGTCAATATCATGTACTGCATTAATAAGACACAGGTTAGTATTTGGTGTCAATSTGTGTCTGAACAGTGGAAGTTCCTACAATATGGATGTTTAAAAACATGGCCTTTGTAAGGGTTTGTTATTTTATGACTGCAGAAATGTTTCAGAAAGAGCATTGTAAACTTTTTTTTTTTTTTAAAAGTACAGTACTTAGTGGGGAAGATTTGCAGATATTAGAAAACAAAAGGTCCCTGAACTTAATCCTAATTCATTAGGATTCTAAAAGAACATGGATCTTTGTCTGGATAAAGGTAGTATTGAAGTGACTCCTTCTGAAGATGGTACTGAAKCAATTTCCAATTCTGCATGAAAATGACAATCCTTAAACTTGGATCAGGAGGCAGTAAGAAATTCTTAATTCTGAATTCCTTATGGATGTAGTTTTAAAATCTTGAGATCATTTTTGCCATAGGAAATGGTGTTGAGTTTATATTACAGAGTATTTACAGTGGGAGAGATGCCTCTAAAATTATTGACAAGTCATTGAAATTATTGAAAAACAGAAGTTTCTTCATAATTGAAAAGTGAGTTGTTACCTGAATTTAGTGATAAAGCTGAATGATAGAAGTGTGGTCCTGTGTGGCCTGATTTTTTTTAATTTTATAAATAATGAGATTAAAAGGTTTTTTGAGTTTTGTGTTGCACATTTCAACACACAGGGTCCAAGAGCTCTCTGGAAAGGAATGGGCAGCACTTTCATTGTTCAGGGCATAACCCTGGGAACAGAAGGCATCATCAGTGAATTTACACCTTTGCCAAGGTATTGCATCTTTTTTTTACCACTTCTAAAAAATTAATCATCAGTTGTTGACTTATTTTCAAAACGTTAGAAATGTAAGGTTGTTTGAAAAATATTACTTCATGAGAATGGCCAGACATTGAATAGATGTTTCAAACACAGCGTGGTTATCTTGGAAAGGACAGCCTTATAATCCATGAAGAGTGAGAGACTCTTTCTGGGAGCTTTGTATGTTTGTATCTGCTTACTTGTCTGAGTACGGAAATACTGTAGCAAACTGGTCTTTGGTGTTCAATCTGTAATAAAAAAACCACAATTTTCTTACTTTATTTAGGTTTGCGTTGTGTGGTAATAGCAAGTATTATACCTACGGTAAAAAGTCCTGGTCTTACTAATCTAAAYACAGAAAACTTGTGCAGCTAATGGCCAGCCCYGACATTTGGTTGAACATTTGCACTGTCTTTAGTAGGTGAGAGAACAGAATGGTCTGCATTGGTAAATGAGAAGACATGGTAAATGAGAGTCCATGTGACTGGCAGCTTTGTCTTTGGCCTTCCTTGACCAACAACTGTGTACTTTGTTCAGTATTCTCATAAAAAGGTGTACAAATGAAAACTATTGACTTCATTTAAAGATATACTCATCATTCTGTGTCACTGTGTCAATCTTCTGCTGTAGAAGTTTAGTAATATTTTTAGTAAAAAGTATTCAGGAATATGGAAACTACCATGGGTTTAAAGAGGAGAAGTGTAGTTAGGCTGAATCAAACTACTGCTATGATTCGTATATCCATACTAATAAAAGTAAGTATTTGCAGGTTCAAAAACATTTATACTTAAATTGTAGTGGAGTGTAGATTTAAGGTTTTTGGTCAGCTGTGTTTCGTAGGTAACTGAAATTTCCAGGCATATGYTTTCTTCCAAGTATGTTTTAAATACAGCTCTAGGGTATGCTTAAGTTCATGAGATGTGATAAAGTGTTTATATCTTTTTAGTTCTGAGTTCTTGGGAATGTGAGCAATGAGTTTCTTCTTGTGGGCCAGTTCAGCAGTTTCAAAAGTAAGCTGGTGCTGCTGCCAAAAGAAGCAAACTTTTCTGCTGGGACCAGCTAATTCTTTCCTCCGTGCTACTCCCATTCTCATGCCAACACAGTATGTGAAATCAGGAAATTAACTGGATTGTAAAAGTGATCTGGCTAAAATGGTTGTCTCTTACATGCACCACCATGCAGCTGTTTTCTRCTGAATGCTCTCTCTTCCTTTTTAATGGTGGCATGCATGTTTAGGCTGTCACATGGAGGGAAGGGTTATTGCTTGGAGCAGCAGTGCCAGCAAATCTGATTTAAAAGGTTATTTAACTACATTATCAGGCTTCACAGAGCACAGAGAAGTGAAATATCAATTCTAATTCTATATTATAGTATAGTGGAGGAATATCCCTGTTTTAGGAGAGGAGCCCAGAAATGGGTGTGAATGTTCTGTACTAGACAAACTTGTTGTGTAATTGTTCTRCAGCTGCACAGACAGTTATACCTTGTGGATTGACAGGTTAGGCTTTCACACATTAGTTGGGCTGCTTTTATTTTCCACATCATTTCAGTATTATGAATAAATGGATGTGATCCAAGTGTCTGAAATACATAATGGTAAAAATAATCTTCTTATTAGTGATTAATCTTCTAATTAGTGATTAATCTTCTAATTAGTGATTAATCTTCTAATTAGTGATTGACCTGTGTATTTAAAATGTGATAGCTACTAGTAGCACATTCTTCAGAAAGACTAAAAACTTGTCTCTCTTGGATTAGAGTTTTTGTAGCCATAAGCAGTGTCTGAGTACRATTACTGGACAACAGTTGAAGCTGATCACTTTACAACTTGTTGTTAAAGATGCAAAGTCTAGTGTGCTCGACATTTCAGACAAATACCTATACCTCTTAYCTTGAGTATTGACCATATGCATTTTAAGTACATGTGGTATTTGAATGGTATCTTGAGCTAGGTGGATTTACATTCTTTCTGCCAAGTGGAATGCAAACATTTGTTGCTTGTACTTTGAAGTGTGTAACTAGAAATACTACTTTAAGGGAATATTTTGATGTCACCTTCGTGTTAAACACATGGACTTTTTTGTATTTTATCAGGATATGCTGAAGACTTGTCATAAGACAAAAAACTTCAGTTGTGTCTGTACAGAATTACTATGCAATTTCTTGTCTGACCCTTGTACTTGATTTGTTCTTGTCTAACTGTGCCAGAGTATGATTTAGATTTTTTTGAAAGAAACAGCGATCAAAGACAGAAAAGGCACAACCAAACCAAAATGTAATTAAAGTTATTCGTTGGAAATAAATTTAAAGTACTGAGATTTGAAAGTACTCCAGTGTTCACTGAAAAATGCTTTAAACACTGGTACATAAAGTTGCTGAATAAATGCAAAATACTAAAGTCAGTTGCTGTGAGAGCTGCAGACACTCTACATTAATTTATAACTGAAACCTGTTTTGATAGAAGGTCTAACAGGCCTGAAAAACTTCTAGAAGTTAAGCATAATTTACTGAATCTTTCTCTGTGTCTTTCCAACATGGGAAATGCTTCAACATAAACAGACAGTAGAACACCAATATGAAAACTGGATGTTGACACCCATGGAAGAATTGCTTGAGAATTACATGTGGGTGATTATTCATATTGTGGTAAATATTTTTTTTTAGGGAACTTTCACATAAATGGAACTTCAAACAGATAGGTGGACACCTTTTACTCAAAGGGTAAGTATGTTATTGCCTTATTATCTAAACATAATAAAACTACCAAATGCACGTAAGTTTAGTCCGCTGCTATGATTAGTTGACTAATCTAAGATACTAATAGTAATTTTCAAATGTTGATTTTTTTTTTTAACAACATTGATTGCATGCACCACTTTCACAGGTTGTCTCATAGTAGATCCCTGTGTCTATGGAACTCAACTGATTTAAAAGATTAAATTCTTTTAGACCTGAATAAGTCTGGTCACATTGATGCAGAATTTTAACAAAACTTCTGACTGAAGCTTATCTCAGCTTGTTGATATACATTGTAGTAATTGTGTTATGCTTTGGTAATTTTCTTTTAGGAATAATTTGGTAGATAATTTTATCAATTTTCAGGTGCTTGTTTGGCTACAAATTATAGTACTGTCATGACTTTAATTCTTATATTGTTAATTTCTACAGGTTAACACATGTGATAGCAATGCCTTTTTATTCTGCGAGCCTGATTGAAACTGTACAGGTAACTTGCATATATTTTGCAACATTAAAAAAGATACTGTTTTTCTTTATAGATTAGAGTGTGTGGAGAAATGAATCGGATTTATCTTGCAGTAGTTGCATTTGTTTTACTTGAGCCTGTAACTTAGCTGAGATGGATGTTTAGTATTAAGGGTATAATGCTGTACTATCTTAACTCAAAATCTAAAGATTTAGAAAGGACATTTAATATAGATAGTTGGAATGTGTTGCATATGAAATAGTGAGATGCTATATCGATATGTTACAGCAGAAAAACATAAACAAGTTTTTCTCATGTGAGATTTTTAAACTTTGCCTTCCTAGGCAAGTTGTTACTGAGAACCCCTCCCCTGTAATAACTCTAAAGTTTGTTCCTGTAGTTCAGTGGAGTTTTGATGAAATAATCAACTCTGCTCTTTCAGGACTGTTTTCATTAAATCAATTTTTTACTTTTAAAACTTCATCTAGTTCTTCCTTAGCCTTGAAAATTAGTATCTGCATCTGTCAGTAAGAATACATGTTAACTTGTTCTGTAACCCTCCAGAGTATCCCATAGCACTGTGTGTCAGTGAGGTGTTGCCTCTCTTTCTGGATAAAGAGGCAGGGTATAGGGTTTTAGAGGAATGACTCAGGGTAATTCTTGCRGCCATCTCCGCATGATGAGTTGGTCTGTGCAGCTAATGGATTTCTTTCTAGAGAGTGAGCTCTGATGTGGAGGGTATAAGATCACTCTCATGTCACTCAGTCATCAAAATAATAATTTCCAGTGATAGCATGGGCGCTTTGTTAAGTACTGTYGAGACTGATTTGCTGGTGTATGTCTCCAAAATGGTGCTTCTCCTGGAGAGAAGGCTGATTTCTGCAGTTTTGAGTTTCAGCACATACTGCAGAAGTATGGACTCTTTAAAGGGCAGGATTCTGCTCTGTGCCAAAGATCCAAGCTTAAGTGAGCCAGAAGGTAYTAGAAGAGCTGTTCTGTCTGAACTGGCTGCATTAAGGATTAACAGGATAGATGAGATTAAGCATCTATAGACAGACTCCCAACAAGAAACTCACTTCCTCTGTAGTTGCTCTTTATTTTAGCAATGCACTTTCCTAAGGGCATCTTCGAGTTTGTGGAATATTTGCGAGACTTAGCTGGTGTCAAAATGGGATGCTGGCTGGAACTCAAATTTTTAATTGCTGGGTAATGGCTCTAACCTGCACATGCCATAATTCTGTAACTAAAAACAGTGGTGAAACGCTGTCATTGTTTCTGGAGTTCACAGCAGGCCACAGATRGGAATGTTATTGCTTGTGTTTTTGTGTGAAACAATGTTGCATTACCAATGTTGTTGGACATGGGTAATTTTTTTTTTTTTTGCCAATAAAAGATAAAAGAGAACRTTATTTAGAGTCTGTCTTCTGTTTGCAAAGTAGGTATGATGTTTCCTTGCTAGAAAGAAACTTAGTAGGAAAACAAGCTAAAAGCCAAAAAGCCTTTTAAGCCAGKGATCTTTGTAATGGATTGGTTATGAAACTTCCACTGAGATCTGAGGGTTTTGAGCACAGTGACTTCAGTTGTGTGCACATATTTTACTGAACAAGTTCTGTGTATGTATATCTATATATGTGCTGTATGAAATATGTTCTCGAGGTCCTGGGAACATTATCAKCAGCTTATTAGAAACACAGCAGAGGTAATGATATAATTTGTGAAGATGCTGTTTATACTGTAGTAATCACTGCAGGGGAGCAACTTGGCTTGCCCGGTTTGAGTTACATTCCTGTGCTGCAAGAGGGCAATGACCAATAACAAGCCAGAAGAGTTAAAGATTGTTGGGTTTGCTACTAGCAGGTTTGTATTGACTTTGATTGTCTTAACTCTGATAAATCATGCTGTTCAATAGTGTTTGTTTGACACTTCTCTAGGTAAGTCACCAAAATAACTGTTAATGGTGAAGTGTATAACTGTCACGTTACTGCTTTTGTCATTAGTGTCTCAAACCTCATGGTGGCGCATTTGGCCAAAGCAAGCACGGTTTTGAAGTGCAGTAACTGTAGTGATGTGGAACAGGAGACGAGTCAGTAGGGGTTTTTCTGTTTAACTTGTACTTAAAGCCTGGAACAACTCTGTGTTCTCAAGTATTGAACCAGTTTCTCTCCTTCACAGAAAAAAAGCATGAAGGCTTKGCAGGCTGTTATGTATTTAGTCAAAATACTGAGGAATATTCTGGTAGCTTATTCTGGCATGAGGTTGGGACACAGACCACATGTATTTAGAGACTTTAGCATTTAGGAGAGCATGCAGATATTGAATTTTAGATGTAAGCCACGTGATAACCACTGGAGTTTGTATAAGTATTAGAAGGGGAAACAATGTTTTTAGCTTAATTCTACACTCACTGGTGAAATAAAGTACATCATTATTTTTGTTTGCACTACATGAACAAAATAACTATCTCTTTACTAACCGACAGCATGGGTAATGAATACATATAATGCAATGAAAACATTCAAAGCTGAGCCYTTAAATTCATTGTAAAAACAACCTTTCAACACTACTTATGTAAGTCTTTACTATGTACATTCAAATTCAAAGGTTATAGTCTTTGAAGTCAAAGTGTTTTGAATTAGATAAATACTTCTGGAATTTTGCTCCAAATGTAGAGGTTTTAAGTCTATTACTGTTTTGCATTCTGATACTTTCAGCAGTAGGCTGAAAGTTGAATTTCTTTGGTRGAAACACAGATAACTGCTGTATACATGGAAAAAAATCTCATTAAGATGGTTTTATTTTTTAAAAGGAAGCTTGATTGAATGCTATGAAAAGTGTTATAACAAGGGATGTTTATTTGTACAACTGTGTAGACACAAGCAAGTGTTTAACTTTTTTTTTTTTTTAAGTTCAGCAGTGGTAAAGTGTCATAGTGGGTATCGGGATGGTTTTGAAGTGTTCAGCATGAGTTGTAACTCCTTCTTTGTGCTTGTAGAGTGAAATAATTCGTGACAATCCTGGCATCCTGGACTGCGTGAAAGAAGGAATTGGCAGAGTTGTAGGCTTGGGTGTACCCCATAGCAAGCGTCTCCTTCCTCTGATGGTCTTGATTTTTCCAACTGCTCTACATGGAGTTCTTCATTATGTCATCAGTTCCGTTGTCCAGAAGCTGGTTTTGTTTGTCTTAAAAAGGGATAATTCCCACAACYTTCCAACTGAGAGCTCCACTTCTGTGCAGAGCATGCTGGATGCATATTTTCCAGAACTTATTGCTAGCTTTGCTGCTAGCCTTTGTGCTGATGTCATGCTTTACCCACTGGAAACAGTTTTGCACCGCCTTCATATTCAAGGGACACGCACAATAATTGACAATACAGACCTTGGCTATGAAGTGCTTCCAATCAATACTCAGTATGAGGGAATGAAAGACTGCATAAATACTATAAAACGGGAAGAAGGAATGCAAGGTTTTTATAAAGGATTTGGAGCTGTTATAGTACAGTATACCTTGCATGTGGCAGTTTTGCAGCTTACAAAAATTATTTACTCAACACTGCTTCAAAATGTTTCTTAGTGTGTCCAGGTCTGGATCTAGTACATTGGACATGATTGACTTGCTAACCTAGTTATTGTTTAAAATGGCTTAGAAAATGAACTTGTAGAACAACTTGTTTTAAAAATGGGGATATAGTTTCCGAAGTGTAATTAAAAAAGGACTGTTTAGAAATTACAGCCACAAATTGAGTATGTCRTATGCAGTCATAAAAAGGGGATCAGCTTTCTAATGTGATTGCATTGAGGATTTACTTTTCCTCTCACCAGTTCACTACCTTAGGAATGAATATGAATTGTGAGTATCTGCTTCATAAGCATCGCATCTGATATTTAATATGGACTGATAGCTAACTCAAAGGAATTTATTTTCTTAAGTTGTAAGAATTTGCAAGTAGGGGACTGATGGCTTTACTGGTCTTTTAAAAATGTTTCCAACTTCATTATTACTGGAACTGTGAGTAAAATAGAAACTGTAAAAGTAACTTAAGTAGACTTAAATGTTATCATTTACAGGTTCAGAGAAGACTTATTTTGCTGCAGTGTGGGAAGAGATGACAAAGGGGAATCTTTTGCTTTGTATAAAAACAATGAAAAATGGGTTTTGGGCAAAGTTGCACAGAATGCAAATTTGGCTGTCTTGCAGTTTGTTTGCAAGGCTTACAATAAGTACATGTGTGAATAAAGCAAAATAGAAACTGATGTGTGCATGTGTAAGTGCCATTTTTAGTTGGCTTTCCACTGATAATTTCAGGGTGTAGTTTTACTCTACTACTCCATGTGAGAGTATAATAATCATGCAAATCTGTGTTGTAGTAGTAGCTGTGTTCAAAGTGTACAGAAAGCCTAAAAAAACAATTGGCTGTTCCTAGAGTTTCTCTTCTGTTAGATCAGATGGCTGTATATAAAATTGTCTTCTTACTATTTAGCACTGATGTCTGTCATTTAGTCTCTGCTAGATTAAATACTTGTGGAGCAGAGCTAAGTCTGTTTATGTACAAGGGATCCACTGAAATATTTCATTTTTGCTCTCTCCCCTTTCAAACTCATGCTGAAAATTACTTTTAAAAATTCTAAATAATTTAGTCCATAGTTTCATCAATAAATACGGGGGGTGGGGTGATTGGTTTTTTAGCAAATAAAACAAGCATGTGGAAAGTCACTTTTAAAATATGAGAATCTGCTGCTTTTTTCACATTCATGTGACAARTCTGTTTTTGTGAATGCTGTAAATTGATCTGCATTTTAATCATTAATCATTGTGTAGTTATCACTTACGGAAAGCAGTCATGGTAAAATAATGCAAAGATGTTGCTGTTCATGAGTTCTGACCGCAAATCAGGTCTACTTTATTATTAATCTAACTGTCATGTATTTTAAATGCTTAAGTGTTGAAGTGGAAAGTATAGTGAACTTGGGAACTGGTTTATTTGGAAATATTGTTTATGGCAAATTTAGTGTATAGTATGTGAAATAAAATGAGAATTCACTGTAAGTATTATAAAGGAATTCACCAAAGAGGCATGTAAAGGAATCCTGTTTTATGTGTTATGTTTTACTGTGTAGGCTCCAGAGTGGCATTTTCAAGTTCCTCAACTTTCGTAAGTGCAAGAACATGTTGAATTAAACTACATGCAAGAGCTTGGGTAAAATACTCAGTTCCTCGGTTGGTTTCTTTTAAAGTCTCTGTGAGTATCAAGACAGCCATGCCAGAGAATCATCCAGATTGGAAACGACGTTAGCATGTTATCCAAATTTCTGCTCTAAGCAAGGATTACATTGACTTGYCCGTGCCCCTGTCCAGTCAACTTTTAAAATCTGACTCTTATTACGTAAACCTTGCCTTTTCAAACATGTTAAATTTAACTTAGGCAACAATTCTATCCAAATTGCCTTGGAGCAGTAACTAAGTTTATCTTGCAGTCTGACATATGCAGATGTATCTGTGAAATTGATCAATCCTGTTTCTCTAGGAATAGAATTCTAGGGCATTTTGCCATGTGAAATGGAGGACTTAGAGATGGAAGATGAGATCTCAAGAGTGGTACTAGAGACTGTGATATAATATTTTTTATGTCAAAGACTTGCTTTCATTACTGACAGTTTTACGGTTGTAGTTTTGGTTCTCAGATCTGTGACTTTAGGCAGAGTGAGAAAGAATGCTGTCAGTATAAAGCAGCTGTTCTGTGGTGGAAAAAACCTTTTGCTTTGGGCTATTCTATTTTGGTCCTGCTCCCATCAGTTAGAATGAACATGTTTAGATTTTTTTGTGTATACTTTCTGTATCTTCCAAAACACGTAACACTGTCCAGAGTTGCTGGGTTTTTGCCCATGCAAAAATGTAAATGAGTATGGGCTGTAAAAGCTAATTCCAACCTTTTTAATCATAACTTTTTCTGGTTTTCATTTGGGTCTCAGGTACTCAACTTTTAGCTCACACAAATGATCAGTGTGTGGGTTCAGCAAGAGGTGCCATTGAAAACTACAAAATATGGAACTGGCTGTAGAAATAGGTTGTGGAACATGAACAATTTCTATGCACACTCATGCCTGATACAATTTTTTGTACCTTGCTTTTCTTACTACTATTTTTTTCTTCGCTCTTTCAAGAAGAGAGCTGATTTCAAGGAGGTAAGTGTTGCTGAAGAAAGACAGACTCTAATGTTTCCCTCCAGTGAAGAATTACTTGGCTTCTTATCCATCTCTTGCAAGGAAAGCATTCATGTGTACTAACTGATAACAGACTGACAACAGGCATGGAACTTTGGGCTATGAGGCCTCTTGGAAACAGGCAAATGTCTACCTCTGTTGTTTCAGGGACTGCACACAGATCATGCTTATGTTTGAGTTGTGTTAAAACAGCTTTTAGATCCAGTATTGATGCCAGTACTGAATTCTTCAGCAATGGTCCAGCTGAGTTCATTCCTTTTAGCAGGTCGGCTTTAGGTTTATCTGCCTCTGGGAGCTGTCTGYAATATTGTGGGATGTGTAGTTTTACAGATTTATGCAGAATTTGTAAGATTAAAAGTTACACGTTTTTCTTAGCTCTGAATTTAGCAGCACGTTCAAAGGAAAGATATGTAAGGTATTCATGTGACACTGTCATTCACCTGGGTACATGCCTGCAGCTACAACCATAGAGTGGAATCACTCACAGAATATTTTGAGTTGTAAAGAACCCATCAGGATCATCAAGTCCAAACTCCTGGCCCTGCACAGGACACCTGAGGTGTCACAGACTGCCTGAGAGCATTGTCTCAACCCTTCTGTCACTCTGTCAGGCTGGTGCTGTGACCACTGCTCTCAGGAGCTTGTTTCTTTGCCCACACACCCTCTGGTAAAAAAAGCTTTTCCTGATATCCAAACTAAACTTCTGGCTCAACTTCAGACCATTCCCTTGGGTCCTGTCACTGTCACCACAGAGCAGGGATCAATGTCTGCCCCTCCTCTTCACAAGGAAGTTGTAATTGCAGTGAGGTCTCCTCTCAATCTTCTCCTCTCCAGGCTGAATAGACCAAATGACCACAGATTCTCCTCCTAAGGCTCCTCCTTCAGATCCTTCATCATTTTTATGGCTCTCCTTTGGATGTTGTCTAATGTATTTTAAGTTGTGGTTCCCTAAACTGCCCCCAGCACTTGAGGTGAGGCCAATCCAGGTCTGAGCAGAGSAGGACAATCCCCTCCCTTGTCCATCTGGCGATGCTTGGCCTAGTGCCCCCCAGGACAGGGATGCTCCTCCTGGCTGCCAGAGAATTGCTGCCTCATGTTCAACTTGCCATCAACCAGGACCTCCAGATCCCTTTCCATGGCACTGGTCCCCAGCCTCTCATTCTCCAGTTTCCCCYGTATATCCAGGGTTGCCCTATGCCCGCTGCAGGATCCGGCACTTTCCTCTGTTGAGCCCCATCTGGTTGGTGATTGCCAGTCCTCTGATTTGTTGAGGTTTCTCTGCAGTTCCTACCTGCCCTCAAAGATGTCAACAGCTCTCCCCAGTTTACTGTCAAAAGCAAACTTACTCAGAATTCCTTCCAGTCCTGTGTCAAAGTTATTTATGAAGATGTTGAAGAGCACAGTTCCGAGAATGGAGCTCTGTGGAATCCCACCAGTGACAGGTCACCAGTGTGATGTCACTTCATTCACTGTGGCCCTTGGTGCATGACGTGATCCAGCTTCTCACTCATCACATGATGTGTTTATCCAGATGTGTGCTGGGTGTTTTGTRCAGAAGGATCCTGTAAGAGACAATATTGAAAGCTTTACTGAAATCCAAAAAACTGCATCAACTGGTTTCCATTGATCAGCAGGTGGAAATCAAGTTTGACAAACAGGCCTTTCCTGTCATCAAGCCGTGCTGGCTCTGACAGATGCCTGCATTGTCCTTCAGGTGTCCAGAATATTCCCAAAGATCCGGGCTGATAACTTCATGGTATGGGTACTAAAGGAGTGGAGTGGGAAAGATGCCCTCCTTGATTTGTTGCTCATTAACAGAGAAGGTTGACAGGAGGAAAAGCACCTTAATACTGGACATGARGAGAGCAGGAACTTGTAGTGATGTCTCTGGGAGAACATTTTAGAAGGTGCTGAATTCCATCACTTCTGGTCACTTTTTAAGCACTACCTCCTAAGTGCACAGGAAGTTCCAAAATGTTGAAAGTCAAGCAGGTGAGGCAGAAGGCCGGTTGGCTGAACAAAGCAGGGATCATCTTCTGGAGCTAAAGCAAGAAAAARAATGTGTATGGCCAGTGCAAGCAAAGTCAGGTGACACAGGAGGAAAACAGAGATGCTGCTGTGAGGGAGAAAATTCAAAACTCAGCTGGAGTTGACGCCAGAACTGTGGGGACAATGGAAAGAGTTTGCTTAAATCATTGACAGTAAAAGGCAGTGCAGAGATGACATTGGCCCATTGCAGGATGAGGRTGGTCAYCTCCCAGACAGGGTCAGAGGCCAGGCAGGGGTGTTTAACACTTTCCTTGCCTCTGCCTTCAGCGCTGAGGGGTCCCAGTGCCCTGAGCTGGGCRTGACCATGATCAGCTTCCAGCTGACCCTGAGCCTGTGCAGGTTCTTCTCCTCCACCTGGATCCCTGCAAATCTATGGGACRTGATGGGATTCATCTGAGAATACTCAAAGAGCTGCTGAGGTCACCATGAGCCTCTCTCAATGATTTTTGAACACTCTTGGGAATCCGTAGAGGTCTCAGTTGACTGGAAGCTGGTGAACATTGCCCCAGTTTTCAAGAATGGCAAGAAGGATGGCCTGGGAAACTACAGACCTGTCAGCCTCACTTCAGGGCCTGGTTAAAATATGGAAAAATTTATTTTGGGAGTTACTGAAAACCACCTGAAGAACATAATCAATGCATGTGATGTAAATGAGGCCTGTCTCTCCATAAATGCACAAGTTCATGCTGAGCTCTAAGATTTTTTGTTGGTGTAATTCAGGGTTAGCMGTGGTCACTGTTGAACTATTGACCTTTTCAGTGATATCCAAGGAGTAGTGGTTGCACACTAAATTGTTTTACTGAATGGCTGCTGYGGAGAGATTTGAGAGCCGCATGTAATGGCAGCATTCCCTTACTTGGATGGGAAGAGAGATGGTAGGAAAATGTGAATAAACCATTTGTCTAGTTTTGTTTCAGAATATGTAATACAAATCTCCAGCAAGAGCAGAAGAAGGTAAGATCTTCATGTAATCAAAACTGCTGGCATCTGTTTTTCAAAAGCAAATCTGATTTTAAGGACTCAGATAAACTTATATCTTCAGATGTTTTTTGATAAAATAAAGATAATTTGTTCTTCACTTTCTGAACTCCAGTTTCCCAACAGACAGTCTGGCAAATTGTGAACTTAATTTAGGGGCAGAAAAGAAGCAATATTGAAAATGGAATTTAGAGGTTGTCCATAAATGAAGATAAGGAAAAGTCAATGATTAATGTTCTCAATTGCAAAAACCTAATAAAATGTAGAAATGTACATAAGTATTTATGTAGTATTTATAGCCAAATTTATTTATGTGTATATTTATGTTATATTTATGGATTGTTTCATTTGGAAGTCTTTTTCAGCCTTTATCTTTCAAATGGTATTCTTAAAGGCAAGTTAAAATCACAAAATGTGGTAACAGTGACATACTTTTTTTCTCCTGATACTTGGAAACTGACTCAACTAAAAACCAGCTATTTTTTCAATAGAAAAGAAGAAAGTCTTCTCCATCTTCCATTCAAATCAAGGTAGCTTTTCGATGGATGCAAATACTATCATACAGCTGTCTAACACAGAAGTTACAATTTCTTGTTTGTTATTATTCAAACTGCTAATGTGTTAGCTGCAGTACACTTTGCCTGTGGCAACTTGATCTGGGTGAAATGCTGTATAACTCTTGTTTTCAAAATGTAGGGGCAGRATGTTACTGCTACCCACCAAAATAATAAAATCAGAAGGGATTTTTTACTTGTCACCTGAAATTCTGAGTTGTGCTCTTATTTCACGGTATTAAGCTTAACACTAAGACAAGACCTGAGCAAAGGGACTTTTTGTAGGGAACTTGACTCTGTTCTGCAGAGATGCTTCATGACTTTGCTCAGAAGGAATTTTTAGAAGCAAAAGGCTTGTAAACTGGTGTTCCTGATTCTTGGTTTCGGGATGTCTTCAAAAAAAAACAAAACCAAAATTCCAGGAGATTTCGTTTTACTGCAGCAATGAAGGTWACTCACTGAAATTTCTGATATCTGAAATGGGATCCTGAATTTATGTATGTGATGTTGGAGCCTTCAGGCAATATTTGTAGAAGCAATGAACAGTATGCACAGATGCCTTGATTGTCAACTCGTAGCTGAAACCAGCTGAGTCCAGTGCCACCCAAAGTGATATCACACCTTTGATGTCCCAACAGCCCCTGATATGTTTGTGGTCTCTGCAGGTATCGGTCCAAACCCACTGCRAAACACAAGCACAGGCAGGAAGGACTGTGTTAGACACTCCTCAACTAGCTTTGTCCATGCAAAATGACACACAAAAGAATCCAAAGGCATGCAGAAGAGGTTTCTTGAAACCAGGTATGTGCTTACCATTGAGAGCACCCTGACGAGGAGGTGCGTGTCACTTCAACAGCTACTCAAGAACAGTGATGGGAAGGAGACAGCTTGTCATGTAGGTACTTGTGTTTCAGGAGCTTAAAAATGCCTGAAGTGTTTTCTGTGAAAAATGGAGGGGGTTTTCTTTCCACTACAAGTTGTTAAAAAAAAAAAAAAAAAGAAAAAAAAACCCTCACAAAAGGTTTGCTGTGAAGCAGGTAACTTGCATAACCATTCTGATTTGCTTTGAAATGTGCTAAGTTAGATTCGCTTTGGCTAATGCTTTTTTTTTTAATAAAAAGCAGCTACTTTATAAAAAGATTTTTTCAAGGGAATGATTGTGTCATATCCTCATTAGAAGTTTATTTGTATTGATTTGCCAACATAATGTATCTCCTAGAAACTCATTTGTGTGTTTTTTCCTCCAATACATTTGTGTCTTATAAATGCCCTCTAATAATGGAGTTTYCTCAATGTAACAGCACTTAATCTATAAAGACTGCTGCTGAGAAATGGTTCCAATTACTCTACAAAAGTGGAAATGTTTGTGTATTTAAATACAGTTTCACCATAGTAGGAAAGGCCTGGAGAGCTGGGATTGCTCAGCCTGGAACAGAGGCTTTTGGATCACCTGACTCTGGCCTTCCAGAACGTGAAGGGATCTCACAAGGAAGATAAAGAGGGACTATTTACAAGGGCATGTAGTGACATGACAAGGGGAAATGGTTTCACTCTG